TGACGTGTAGAGTCATAAATCAATTTGGTTTTGGCATAGTTTTACTTAGTTTGGACTTTGGACTAATGATATTACGTTGATTGCGCCTTTTACAAGAAAGCCACTAGATGGCACTGTGTTGTGTATGTGACGAACTATGCAGATTAACAAAAAATATAGGCTACTAGGCTAGCAAGCTATATGTGGAAATGTTAAGAGAAAATAAACAGAGACGTTGAGATCATACAGTGAAGTATTTTATTTAAATAAAATGAATAAAACAAGACTATTGTGGTCTATTTTAGTTGAAGCCTAATATGGGTTGTTGTTTTGGTCTGTCTCAGATCATTAAAAAAAGTGTGCCCCCCTATGAAAATTAAATGCCCCCCCAATTGGTTTGTTCTGGCGACGGCCCTGTGGATATATTTAACAAAATACTCCTCTCTGTAGTTAATTTTTTTGCGACAAACAAATAAAATTAACAGAACTTGAAAGCTAAGCTTTATCTCATCACAAAATAACCTGCTCTGTCTTGTCTGTCGGTCTCAACGTCACGATTTTTCACTGCAAAAGAAAATGGATGTGTGGCATGAGAGCAGTGTCTATTGCGTGAGGCTCACACTGAATGCGTGAGAGTTAACAGCCCTGCAATGATGGTGGGAACCTCAAACTACAGAGAGCTGACAGATAACTACCTCTTTGTAGCAGATATTAGTCATTTTTCCAAATATCTAATCTGCTGATATGAACAGAACTTTAAGCCTAGCAACAGTGATGTCTGACTTGTGTGATCACAAGGAAACTAAAATACTCTAAAAGGTAAAAGAGGAAACCGTCCTCTCCTAAAAGGAAACAATTTCTTGTTCCACAGAATATTTTGTTTTCCTCCTGAATTGTCTGAATGACATAATCCAGGGCAACAGTGATGATCTGTTGTGATGGCAACCTTAATGGTGTAGTCACCAAGTCTTAGCTTTTCAAATCATTCACTGCGTTCACATTGATCCAGCGTCATTGCACAGAAATAGACAGTAAAGGAACATGATTCAACTGTTTCAATATCTTGTGCATGGTTTATTTCACTATTTTCTAGTGCCACTCATGTCTCATAAGAATTTATGCATATTCAGATAACATCTATAGATTGAACAGCATAAAAAGAATGAAAATCAATAACGGAAATGACTTGATGGAATCCTATATGCAATATGAATGATATTGCAATTAAGGGTTTAGCAGTCCAAATCATTAGGCTAAATGATATCTCTTTTTATTAGCAGAGTCTGCAAAAATCACAACAGGACAACCCGTAAGACAACATACATGTATAATCTTAAGTTCTTTTGTAGAAGAACCATATAATTCAGTGAATGAAAACTTCAACAAGGATCTCGCATTCAGTCACAGTTCTGTCCAGTAGTGCATGCCTTGCCCTCATTATCCATGTCACTCAACACGACTCAACCAGTCTAAACAAGGATTGCATTTACTTCCATGAGTATTTATATAATTGCTCAAGGTCAGTTTTGTAAGTTGAAAAATGAAAGACTGCAAGACCACATTTGACAAAAGGGAACCGAAATAACCAAGAAGCCGGAATAAAGAATGACTAATATAATAACAACAACAACAACAACAACAACAACAACAACAACAGGCATTTCATGTTGGCAATCAATTTAACAATAGCACAGGAGAATTAAGTTTCCCACAGAGATTGAGAACCAAGGAAACAAACAGAATGACTATTAACACTTCCAAGAAACACATTATAAATAGTGCAAATAAAAGAAGAACGCAACAGTATCCATTTCCAAGTTTTCTGAGAACCATATTTTTAGCAAATTTGATGTGAGAAGTATCAGAAATATGGTGCTAATAGAAGGTACAATTTAATCCTTTTTAGTTTTCTCTTGTTCAGGCAGGGCACACATTTTGAAGACAAAGAAAAAAAATGGATATCTCGCGAGAGACTTAAAGCTATAAAATTACATTCATATAAAGTTTAAACCACAGCATCTTTCCAGAAATGTACAAAATGTATGGGGAGAAAAAAGCAGTGTGCAACACTCATGAGTGTAACAAAACAAGAACAGCTGTGTCCAGCACTCAGCATGGTGGAGGGTATTTTTTGACATGCAGAGCCCTGCAGAGAATGAGCTGGACACAAACACGGCAAAAAATGACTCCTATTTATTTCAAACTGAGAGCAAATCCTCTTTCATAGTGCAGTTTTTGTCCTGAGACAGAAAGGGAGTTGAAATGGAAACAGCAGACTGAGAAAGTTCATCATATCTACTCAAAGACAAGCAGACAGCGATCTACACAACTTCATCTAATCATTCTAATCCCAAATGCAAAAACTCATTCCAGAACCTTTTGTTGAGGGGCGGTATTATTTGTGATAAGACCAATAATACCCCTTTACCGCTGAAACTGTTCTGGTGCGGGTTCCTGGCCGTTGACCATTTTCGAACCGTTCCATACATTACCATTGCAGAAAAGGGGGTTTCAGGCTGGAAAGACTAGTACAACTGGGGGATGGAGAGACATACTGGCAAACTATTGAGAAATGTAACACTGCACTATATTGCTCTTTAATCTAAACATATGAAACTATGAAAGAGAGACTCACGGCCCTATCATACACCCGGCGCAATGCGTTTTTAGCTAGTTTCAGCCAGTTTTCACGTCCCGCGCCATGTTGTTTAAATAAGAAAAAGCATTTGCGCTCATTTGTGCATCAATGGGTGTGCTGGTATGAGAAAGAGGCACTTCAGGAGCATTGTTGGCACGCTGCTATTTTGAGGCAACTGAAAAAGACGGTGCCATTGACCAACTGAAACCAGAAGTCAAAGGCTTTTTTTATTTTATTTAAAGGGCGCATTAGTAATATAAGCCTATAGGCGGGTGCGCGCGGCTTCTTATTGCACAGACGGACGCACAGCAGCATACAAACAAGCCAAATATTAATACGAAAAGGACAACAATGTAAAAGATAATATTTGTGTACATAAAGATATGGTGGAATCCGGCTTGTCCCGTAGATGGTCTGCTGGTGTGCCGCAATGTATATAGTGAATCCGCCATGGTGAGAGCGCAACTGGCTTTTAAAGTTAATTGGAGATGAGACTCTGATTGGTTTATTGCACGTTACGCCCAAAACACACAATTACTTAAGAGAACAGGCCCTTTTAGATCATTTTTCCCTTCGTAAAAAACTAGCAAAAGTGGATTTGGACACGCCCTAACTGCACTTGCGCTGGGAGCTTTAGACCATGCGCTTAGAATAGGGCCCCCAGTTTGCAAGAGAGTGAGTGAATTATATGGAAATGTGGCCAGTTTGCGACACTCCAGTTCGCCTGGCCGAGAACGCAAACCCATTCTGGGGGAAAGGGGGCATTTGTGTACTATGCAAGTACAATATGTCCATTCTATTAAATACACTTTATAACAATAATATGATTTCACTTTAGAGAAAGCCGCCATCATTGGGGAACATAAACAGAGTGACGAATCAATGCATTTCACACAAATCGAACAATTTTCGTAGTTCCATCCCTACTTTGGATGAAAAGCAAGGTAAAAAGGCATGTTCACACTACCAAACGGCTGTCAATGCGTCTGGTCAAAATGAGTGCTTCAGTAAACACTAGTAGGTTTGTGATGCATACATTATGGCATTAAGTGCTCATCAGACTGATAATGACAGTGAGAAAGCTATTAAAACTGCACTTAGAGGCTTGATAATGGAAAAAAAAAATCATGTTCACTTGGCACTCTGTATTTAAGCCATTTAATAGATACACAACACACAAGCAGCACCTACACACTGCTCACACACACACACACACACACACTCTCTGTAATAACATACAGGGCTGAGAACACACAATAGCAGTGCTTGCAGCGAGGATAATCTCCTCCCACACACGTGGGCCGTGCTGAACAAGCTGCCAGCAGCGTCTCTCATCCCTACTGCCAGCAGGCCTCCAACGCAGAAGTGTGTTTGTCTTTGGTGCCATGTGTTTCTGAACTACCAGTAGGCTGTGTGTGCACAAGAAATACTGTCACTACGGGGACCCGATAACATCTAATAACCAATATGTCTTCGCAGCAGAAGTCGAGCCGAGCATTGAGCCGCGCTTCAAGTCTGTTCCTCAGGTGGGTCGTTAGCTTAATTTAGTTCTTGGTAAAATAGCTAGTGATGTATATGATGATTACTCCATTAGGAATAGAAGAAATCTTTTACTTTAATGAAAGTGCGAAAAGCACTGTCTGCTAGAAAGCTCTTTTCTAGGGGTTGTGATAAAACTATTTTTGAATAAAGCCAACCGTTGAGACCACAAAAAAAAACTCCGGCAATTAGCAATAACCGTTTTCTTCCTGCCATAGATCACCCTCCACCCACGTTCAATGCGACAGGGGGGATGGGGCTATTCTGGTATTCAGTGCAAGTGCGTCTCCTCAGAGAGAGCATTCTTTACACACACGCTCACCCACATGCATGAGTTAAGCGAGCAGTGCAAGTGTGGGGGAAGGTGGAAATTAAAAGTTGGGGAAGAGGAAGAATTTGGAAACATTATGCAAGCTTCCTCATCTCTCCTCCTTTCCCACGAGGCTCCCTAATGTAGCTGTTTCTGCTATGACAATATCAGAGCTGGCGGCGAGTGGTAAGTGGACCATCTCCCTCCAATTCATTTAACCCGTCCACAAACAAACCTATAATATGAAGAGATGGATAGGATATGAAATGGAAGGGAAACATTGGAGGAGATAATCTGCGTGTGCGGGGAGTTTATCGAGTGAATGACTGCATCTTAACTACATCTTTTTCCTATTCATAGATCTCCAATGCACCCTTAGCGTGAGCCAGCATGCAACAGCTGTGCACGAATAATCACACTGGCATCTTGCATAAACCCAACCAATAAAATCTCACTAGTTCTGAGACATGACATACTCAAATAATCCTTAAAATTATTGGACATTACCAAAGAAAAATAAGGAGTATGACTTACCTCTTTTTCTATTTTTATTTTTCCCCTGCAATCCACTGCCTTCAACAGTCCATAACCCGGCTATTTACACCTGCCGACGATGAAGATGATGATGACAGTGGTAACAGACAGCGAAGAGACAGCCAAGACTAAGACCAACCGTGTCAATTCAACAAGTCCTCAAGATTCTTCGAAGCCCTATGCAGTCAAGAGTGGACCAAACTCTGGCAGCGTCCCTCCCCCGGTGACGTCAACAGCCAGTCACGTGAGCGCATAAAAAGCAGAAGTGAGCTAGTGTTGCCCTGGCAACAGGCAGACAGTTCTGTAGTGATTTCAATAGGTCATCTGTCAAAGCTGCAGTGAAAGAGACCCTCACAAAACCACAGTCTAATCCTGCAGTGATAATAAGCGAGTGTTGTGGAAGAAAAGCTGAAAATCTTCAGTGTGGACAGGAAGCTGCATCGAACGATGAAAGAGAAACCGCATGAAGTGTGCAACGATTTGCGAAATCAGACTGTTCCACTGTAGTAAACTGCTTTCCATTCCTCAATGCTTCTTGATGCAGAGTTCCCAGCCGTTTCAGACATGCTTTTCTCAGTCATGACAGTGGCTGGTGCTGAGTCAATGGTTCCCATGAGACTTTGAATCCAGATTATAAACATTCTTTGGTAATCAGAACCACAGAGGAAGGCAGAACATAAACAGACTTCAACTCCAAGTATAATCCAAGTGTGTTCAAACTGCCTGAATGGATTTTTTTTTTTTTTTTTTTTTTTTTTGCTTTTGAGTGATGCAATAACACCTAGTATCGTCATCCAATTCCTTAAACTGAAAGTGAATCTTTAATGGTTAAAGTTCAGAATCAATAGTAGCAACTTGATAAAACTGAGCAATCGAGTGCAAGCCAGGCTGGTCACAACAATAGGCACTTTTGAGTAGGGCTGGGTATCGTAACAAAATGTTCGATACCGATACCTTGACTTCGATACCAATTTTATGATACCAATTATTCGATACCAATTTTATTTTATTTTAACCAGTTTTTACTATAATATTACCTACATTTTTATTTTATTTTTCAGTTTGATGACTTTCACACTTGTATTTTGAGTATATAAAAAAGCACCAATGCTAAAGTTTTCTGTTTCTATCATTTAACAACATGTTTTCTTTACTTCAATGAGCTCATTGTTTCTGCCTTATCTTAATACATTGTTTAACAATGAAACTGAATGAAAATTAATTGAAATGCATTACACTGTCACCTCGGATAACAGATCATCACTCTAAATTGTAATTTAGAAACATGCATTTTTTGTAAAACATGCATTTCTACTTTGAAACGATATGTATTGTGAAAAACGCTATACATAAATGTGAATTAAATTAAATATAGGCTACTGGGGGCGGGATATATGCCTCGCATTCAGCACACATGAAGCTTGCCGCGAAGCACTGGCAACAGTAGCCTAATGATTATGGATGTGTCGGGAAACAACAGCAAGGATATATTTTAATTGTTTATTAATGAACAAGTGTTTAATAAGTCAGGCGATGTTGACTCGTCATTCCTGCAGCAGTGAATGTGCGCGCCTATGGATTAGGTAATCAAACTAATTTCTAATCGTTTCGTTTTAACGTATACATATTTTGACCGTCTATAGTCCTATTTCTCATGTCTATGAGGCAAGTACCGATATGCTGAGCCTGAGTGTCGGTTAATCTGTGACCCGCTCCAGTTCTTGCAGTCAAAGATGGATAAACTTTGTACTCTCAAGTGTCTGTGCGAGTATCAGATTTACCGTGTTTTACTGGTCTTGGCAGCAATTATCTTGTCGAAAATATTGCATCGAGTGCTTCTGGCATTGAGTCTGGCACATAGGTAGGCTACACTTTGGATCATTTCCACATATTTTCCATCCATCTATGTTGGGACGCTTACACACAGGCACGCACACACACACTCACGTGCGACGAGCTACGTCTCTGAGCAGCCGCGTAAACTAGTGTTTTCCGCCACAGCCTATCATACTGCGTGCTTATTGTTTCACTGACGTTAACGAGATTAACCGTTTAAGTACCGAAACTTGGTACCGAAAAACAAGACATGTTTCGATACTCTGTAGTACCGAGGCAATTCGGTCGGTACCTAAAAAGTACCGAACTCGGTACCCAGCCCTACTTTTGAATGACAGAAACAGTTTTTAAGGATCAAATACAATGAAGGACTTAGATAAGACACAAATATCACACAAGTGATATAATTCATTTTAATTACATTTTAGAGCTTTCTTTTAACTATTTTCTCGGCAGGTTTTGTTTATTTTAAGAGCCAGCGCCAGTATTCATGGCCCCCAGAATATTTTGTTGCATGAATATCTGAACATACAATATATTAAAAGAAAGAAACCCTCTGCTTTTAAACAAAATACTGCTTTATTCTAGCATAATGCATTATTTTTATAATCAACACTTGAATCTGGAGAAGTTTCATAAAAAGCAACATTTTGTGCAAAAAGCATTTTTTTTTCCTCAAAAACTACATCCAGATCGGATTTAGAATGATGATCAAAACATAGCAGAAGTCAATCGAGTCCATCAACACCCTCAAAGCTCCATAGTCCTAGCTTGTCCTGGGTCAACATTTAATTCAGTAAAGTTTTGATTTATATGCTGTTTAATGTTGATGGTCGCATATTTTAATATCGTTTTTGAATCGGTTTCGTTTCCGTCCGTTTTTGATCCAGAGATTCTTTACTCATGAACTATGTCAATGGTGGGGAAAGCAGATCTCATAAATGACAGGGGGAAAAGAAAACAGCACAACAACAATGCATGTTTGCAAAGTTTCTAAAATTATGGGCTCATTTGAATGATCAGGGCCAGACACAAACCCACGGGCCAGGCCTATCTGGGTGTGTAATTTATTTGCCTTGAGTGGCACCAAACAAAATCGTGCAAAATAATGACCTCTTCCGCTGCTTGGACAATCAGGGGGGTTTGGATGCTGCTCCAAACTCATGTCAATGACTGATCCAATGTCAGGCAATGCAAACAATGAGCAATACTTCAAGTGAAACAGAGCCACAGTGTTTAAATGAACCTACAAACTGTTTACATAAAGTTCTCTCTGCACATTAAAAGGGGATAAGAGAAAGTATCGTATAGGGTTGGGCCGCTGGATGATATCATCGTCCATCGCGATGGCCAAAGTCCTTTTAGGCAAGTCATGCCACTAGGCTACCATCTTGGAAATGCCTCCGGGCAGCTATTTCGGACTAACAAGACCAGGCTCCTATCTAAATGAATGGGCAGAGAGTCAGAACTGCACTTTCACTGGTCACCGGGACATGAAAACTGCTTGTATAGAAACAGCAGTAAAATATGATAAAAATCATTGCCTCAAAATAAGATGTAAAACGCCTTTTTCCCCCACAGGTTATACGTTTACTACATATGCGCAAGTGTTCTGGTCTCCGCCGGCACAAACCTCAACTGTGCGCATGCGTCAGTGGAACCAGAAGATAGGCTTACACATTTCCCAGCTAGACTGTTAAAAGCAGACGATTGGCTTTAGAGCGGGAGGGGCGGGGCATGTGCATACAATCCTCTTTGGTGTTACAGGTTTTCCCAATTTGTATTGAGGATTGAGGATGTGGCATGTCTCTATATAAATTGTCTCTGTGATGGCTGACAGACATCACGATGTTAGACGGTATAGGCTAAAAGTTCAGAAGAAGTTTTCCTAAACTTGAATTGGGAGAAGATCTGCAGGATTTAGAAACTGAAATTGCTTTTTAGATGAGAGTAGCATAAAAATAATGTGCTCTAGTCATAAAACACTTTTTCCACTCTAATCAACATCCAGGGATGCAACCCGATTAAACTCTAGCATTAGGTTTTCAGCATATGTGTGGTTTCCCTTTCAACATAACTCTGAAAAATAGGCAGCACATTTTCTTATTTGTGTCTTCCAGAAACATAAAAGATTCTGCGGGCAGCACTGGCCTAAGAAGCCAAGGGAGTGAGTCCTGGTCTCTGCACTCCATTACAGACAGCGGAAAGAGAAGTACAGGGGTCTCTGGGTCACTATTCCAGGGTGAACCCGCCCACTCTCCGGCCCAAGAGCGTGGAAAAATCTGCTTTCATGCAAGGGGTCTAATTTGAATACCATCTGGTGGATAGTTGAATAGAGGTAACCAAGCCTCTAAAATGAGGCAAGAAAGGATGACAACAGAAAAAGGGCAAGGTCAGGAAATAAGAGCACCACAGGGGGAGAGATCTGGCACAGAGAGGAAGGGGGAGCTTCCACCAAAGAGTTGATGGGTAGAGTAGGGGGAGAGGATGCTTGAGCAACACGGATGTTTGTACAAGACCATACACGGAAAAATAAGATGCCAAATAAATCAGAATGGATTAAAATGCTTGAGGCGAGCAGAATAAAAAAAAGAGACTTGTTTTGGGTGGGGTGGACTGACAGACAGCCAGTCTCAAATTATACTTCAAACTATGAACTTCTGTGACAACATGGCCCATGCATAAATTAGATAAAAGAGATCCTGTCATTAAGTATTAAGGGACCATGAAATTACTACATTTAGCCAAATGAAGGTGCTTTTAGGACAGTGCTGGGCCATTCATCTGCCTGTCCCTATGGCCAGCAGCTTACAAGACATTTACAATTAGTTTTTGACAAGAAATGCCAATTGCTTAAAATGCAAAGATTTCCGCATGAAGAAACATTTGATTTGACTGTGATGTACAGAAGTCACAAAAGCTGTTAGTTAGTCTGATTTGTTGTTTGTTTGGATGTTCAGTGGAGCTCGTGAGCTTTTCACTGTATGTGAAGAGGTCTTGCTTCATGTCAGAATTAGTTTTGTCCTAAATTCTTCAAATAACTTCAAATATTGTGAATAATATTTGTTGTTAACCTAAACTGGGTGACAACAGTATGAATAATTAAATGAGAGCCTTTTTCTAGATCTCTTTAAGAGCTCTTTATGGCTGATTAGGTTAATTTTTTTTTTCTGTTATAGACTCTTGCCTCAGTGTATTCCAGGAAATGTTTACCGAAAAAATAAAAACAATTAAAGCTATAAAGTTAGTATTGAGGACAGAATTCACAAACAATTTCCAAATTAATGCAGTCATGAATTAGGTGTTGAAAATCAACATACAAAAAAAATAAAATAAAATATATTTGGACACAATGATTTTCTTAGTCTAACCCTCTGGAATCACACTGAACAAAGTAAAAATTAAGGATGGATATGTATTCAAATTAGGGGTGTAACGGTACATGTATTCGTATTGAACCGTTTCGGTTCGAGGCTTCCGGTTCGGTACGCATACAAACCGAACGATTGCTTGGACCATTTTTCTTGCCGGCAAAATTCGTGCTGACGCGGCCAACACAACGTTGCGCAACATCCAAATGGCAAGCGTAATGAAAGCAGAATGAAACTGCGCTACTCGTTATGTGCTTCACGGATCGTTTATCAGTTCGGACCAGCAACATCTGTGCAGCGCGAGCCGATCTCCATCAAGCAACACTGTTACCACACCGCGCTAAGAGATCCGGTAAAGAAAACATTTGAATTCGCCACTGAGGTAATAACATCGCTGCGAGATCTAGTGAGATGCATTCACATTTCTACGTTATTATCTCTATTAGATCAAACAGCGCTGTCATGGAAACTGGGAGAAACGTTGT